GTGTGCATATGTGTGTTTATCTGCATGTATATGCATGATTGGAACTTTGGTTGCTCAATTGCTGTATTAGTTTTACTTCTTCCCTGTCCCTCCCTTTAAATCCATAGAACAGTCTTTGCAATAACTTATTAGTAAAAGTCTGGGAAGGGACAACTGGTACACCATGCTAGTGAAATAAGAGGACTAGATTTCATCTGCATGAAAACCCAGGGTACCATCGTGGGCAGAGTTTGTAGCCACAAAACTTTCCATGAGAACATCTTATCACAGGAATCAAGTAGGTTTAAAAGGGTTGCAAATATGATTGCTCCTTATTAAAGAGGATTGTATGGTTACAAAGGAGATATCTCAAATCTGACAATGATGGTTGGATAGATAGTTTTCATGTGTATCAATTTTTTTGTGGAACCCCTAAGATAAGTCTGAAAAAAACCATTTAAAGATGGTGATCCAGTGCATGAGGCTAGGAAGTAAGACCCATTGAAATCAATGAGACCAATTTTCACAAATTTAGAATGACACTGATTCTCCTAAAAAAAATCAAACAATGAAAGGAAGAACACACAAATATACACAATTATTATTATTATTTTGTCTTCTTCTTGGTCTTACATCCCTGAAGACATAGTGAACTGGTTTACATATAAATCCAACAGGAGACGGATAGCCTCTGCTGGCAGTGCTGGGGAAAATGTAGCTGCATCATAAGCATTTAACTCTTAAGAGCACACTGGGAGGATCTTAAGGCAGAATTCCTGAATTTTAAACTGCCTTCTTACTAGAATCCATGAAGAAGAAGAAGAAGAAGAAGAAGAAGAAGAAGAAGAAGAAGAAGAAGAAGAAGAAGAAGAAGAAGAAGAAGAAGAAGAAGTCCAAAGTATTTATGCATTCCCTGCATTTCCTTTGTTTTATACAATCCATAATGTTCTTCCTCTTTCATCTCTTTTTCATCCACAGTTTGTATGAACTATTCAATTTGCATTATTCAGCCTTCTTGCTGATTTAGTTTAAATGGGATCATTTCCATAGCTTTTACTGCTCATATCCACATGTGACCACTTGTTCATAAATATATTCTGGTATCCTCAGAGATTTTCCAAGGAAGCTAACAAAAATTTTGCATAGTGCCAATACTATAGATCTCAGAGCTACTCTTATTTTTATTTTGGTATGCCTGTCATTAAATTAAATTAGGAGGAAAGCGATTTGGGTAGTGATTTGAGGGTTGTTATTTCTTTCCTTATTTTTTTCTAGTAAGATATTGCAAACCAGAACTGGACTACATATTAAAAAGGGGGCAGGGGGGAGGAATCTAGAACTCAGAATTCTTTTAAAAGTATACTTATCCACTGGAAGGTTAAGTTTTCTTATATTTTTTGGAAGTGAATTACCTGTTTTTCCACATACACATACTTTTAAAGTTAATATGTTGATCACTTGATGGGAAGTAATCTAGAAAGTAACATTATTGCAGGCTGAGTTCCACCCCTTCTCCTTCCCCGAAAGCCTAGTTTAGGAGATGGTGAAACACCAGGGGATACGAGAGCTACATTAAGGCAAGAATCCAGAGACCAGAGAGCACTGCCGAAGAGTAGAATGATCTGCCAGCCAAAAACTGGACTGTCTATTTAGAACCGCTGAGAGTTATCTTGAACAAAACTCCAGAAAATGCTGAAGTGGGGGGAGAGCTCTTTTCTCTCTTGCAAGAGCTGGGGTGTCCTTTCAAGTCACTCATTTGCATACGATGAAGAAGCCATTTCATACCCTAGACAGTGACCTTGAACTGGCCAAAGCGCCCTCCGATTTCAAGACTTTCTCAGGTTCCTTTCCTCTCCATCCTACCCCGAAATGCTTTTATGAACAATGGCTCGGCAGAAAGAATCAAGTTTCTTTAAAAAGCCCAAAGTCGATCTTCCTCTAGGGTGGAGGTGAGAGTTTGGAAGCAGCTGCTCTTCCTTTTGGGACATATTTGTGCCGGCCTAGCTGAGTTTTCTTTTGTTTTATTTCTCAACGAAAGCTATTGTGAGTGTTGGGGAGGAGGAGAGGAATGGTGAAAACTTGGCTTAAACTGTTTAAACTCGAAGAGAGAAATCAGATGTGTGGGATAAACGCGTGGGAGGGAAGATCGTTCACCTTGTCCTACTTAAGAAAAAAAAGGGGGTAAGTTCTTCCACCTTCTTTAAATTAGTGATATTACAGTAACGTCGCAGCTTTAGCCTCCAGAATATTTTATTTTTAGAAACTGTAGTAATTACATTGTTTTGCATCAGAAAGTGGGATACATGCCCCTCTCCCTGCCCACCCCCACCCACCCTTCCTTCCTTCTTTTTCTTTCTTTCTGCTTCAGCACAACTTGGATTAGAAAGTTGAACAAATCCTACTCAGTCCAGTGAATTTTCTCTCTAGAAAGAGCTCTAGGATTCAAATCTTGAAGACTTTGCTGTCAGCAAGTCTCATGCTCATCGATTCATATGGGTTTACTCAGAAGTAATTTTTCATGAAGGTAAGGGGACTTACTCCCTCAGAGTAGGTAGGATCGCAAACCTCAGATTTGCACCAAAAAGGCGGGCTGGTTCTTCATTTAGGTTTCTTTTCTTTGCAATAGATCATCCTAGGAGTCTTGAAATAACATCACCACCATGCATTTTTCCCCATCAAGTTTGGGGAGCTGCCAGATCAGTCAGCTCCACTACAAAGGATGTAAATGGGGAAATTAATATTAAGAAGGAGCAGAAATATCAGGTTGTTTCTCCTTTAATAGAACGGGAAAATAGTCGTGGTGATTTGATTAGCACGTGCTGATTATCCTATTATTAACGTCTGGACTGAGTCAGATCAACAGCTGATGCTCCACCTTGCCTATCTATCTCGGAAGAATGTCCCTGGCGGTACAGACTAGCGCCTTGTGAACAGTTAAGCAGCTTAACTGTTCCCACTGAGGTCAATGAGATCGCGAAGGTGTAACGGTGGGTAGGAGTGAAATCACAGGCGTCTATGCGGTAAATCAACTTGAAAACGTTTGGAGCTTCGCTGCCAGCAAGAGCTAAGTCCAGGGGTTTTTTTGGGGGGGGGGGTTGAAAAAGAGATCTGCTCTGGTAGTATAAAGGGATGGGATGGGACCTCCGCCAGTTATCTGCACAATTCTTGTCCTCCTGTTGTAAGAGCCCTAATGCGGACGGAAGGGTTTCTCGGACCGCCTGGAGGATGGCGTTGCTCTGTCACCCTTAGCAAGAGAACAAAGCCACGCGGGCTCGCAGGGAATGTAACAGAGATCGCACCAAAGGACAAACCAACAAGCCCAAATGTAGGAGCAATCTGGCTTGCCTACTTGTTAGGTTGCCCAACAGTTTCTGCAGAGGAGCGAATAGACAAGCAAGGGGCCTCCACTGAACTCGGGTACTGTGGAGAGCTGCTCTGCTGCATCTGGAGAGGTTAAAAATTGAGGGAATCCTCCCTAAGGATGCTTCAACTGGTTTAGCCGGATACCGAGTCCTCACATCAAGACATGTGCTGGAAAGAAGAACCAGATACACAGACCTGCACGAAGGGAGGCGTGCTGAAAGGAAATGTGGAAGATCAGGGAGCTGCCCCTTTAATGGGATTAAGAAATAAAAGTGCTTATTTGATTAGCACGTCATTCTGGCTAGCGTTCCCGCTGTTGGCCATCCTCCCAACCTAGCTGGGGAAGAGGGAATAGCCCTTAATGTGGAGGAAGCCCGCTGTTAATCCTCCTGGATTTTAAGGCCCCAGAGTAACACTGAATGAAAGGGCACAGAGCTTCTGTTTCTTGGCTTGCTTCGATTATCTGGGGGTGGGAGAGCAGAAGTCTTTAAGGAGCCTTCCCGCAAATTGAAAGTTACCTATATTGGGGTATTTACGGTAATTGAGCCGTCGGTTCTTGGAAATGGTGTCTACAGTACAAATTCCTTCTTTCTGGAAGGGGGAGGAAGAGAAGCATAGCCTTCCCACAAACTAAACATCTCTTTCGAAGGGTGGAGGTTGGATTTCTCCTGAATTCGGATGGCTTTGGAAGGGTCTCCGAGTCAGTCTGCTTTCTCCGAAGAACCCCCGCCCCCGCCTGCAGCAGTTGCCCTTCCAACAGCGCTCTTCCGAGGGACAATGTACCACATCTCTCCTGTAAAGCAGGACGTGATTAAAAACCCGACTCCTCTTTGAACTGGAATTAAAGATCTAGAAACTGTTCCTCGCAGTTAGGACAGGTGAGATCGAGGAGAGGGAGAAGTCTCCGACCCCCTTTGTTCAGTGGATCTCATCACAAAAGAGGATCCCCGGGCAAGGTCGCCGACAGGAATCGGCGCGCTTCCTGTAGTTCCTTTCTCTTCTCTTCTTCTAGACAGAAGGAAAACGCATCTCCTAAATGCAAACGCTGCTTCTGCTGTTGAAAAATAAATACATAAATAGGATTTTAGAAAAGGAGAAAGGGGGAGAATTTTCTCCTAAATGCAGAGAGAGATTTTGTGATACTCTGCCCCGTTATCTCTAAATGCAAGCCTGTTGCGGTTAGATTCATTCCTCTTCTTAAAGAGCCTGTAAACTTTATATGACACAATATCTAATAGGAATTTATTGGGGAGATACTGTAAATTTCAAAGGATTAATTAATAGAGGAGCTAATTAATGAAAACACGGCTTAATTTTTGCCAGCTGCTTAAAGGAACTCAACGTGCTAGGGAGAAAGAGGTGGCATTCCTTTATGGAAAAAGAATTGATATGCATATTTTCTTTACAACACTTCTGGTTTCTCAAGGCAGTGCTTAATGCACGTTTTATTTTAAAAGATGTGTGTGTGCGCGCAAGACCCCGACAGGCAGAACTTCGCGTTGTGTTTCGTCTCAAATTGCGAGAGGTGGGAGGCACCCTTTCTTAACGCAAGTTGGCGCTCACGTGACCCTTCCGGACCAATCGGGTGGACCTTTAGGTTTAACTATGTTTAATGTCAGATAGCAATAAACTAGAAGCTCTTGGTCAGGCCCGCGGAAATGGGCGAACATAATCTCCTTAATCCTGGGTTTGTGGGACCGTTGGTGAACATCCATACGGGAGACACCTTCTACTTTCCCAATTTCCGAGCCTCCGGAGGACAACTACCCGGCTTGCCGTCTCTCTCCTATCCAAGACGGGACAATGTCTGTTCTTTGCCCTGGGCATCCTCAGAGCCCTGCAACGGATATCCCCAGCCCTACCTCAGCAGCCCCGTGTCCATTAACCCTTCCTTCAGCCGAGCCTGCGACCTAGCTAGAGTGGAAGAGAGCAAGTGCTACTATAGGGAGGCGTGCTCCGAGAACGCGCCCCTCAAAAGGGAAGAGAGAGTTAGGGACGCTGCCTTGATGCCCCTCGAGTCGGGCATCCCCAATGGAATGAGCGGCAATTTCGGCAAATTTGATTATCCGGCTCCCGAGGCGGCGGTGTCCCACGACCCCCCTTCTTGCCAGTCCTTGGAGTCAGACTCCAGCAGCTCCTTGCTCAATGAAGGGAACAAGGGCGCAACCAACGAGCCGTCCGCACTGGTCTCCCCTCTCAACCAAGGAAGCAATCTGTCCGCTGGGGGTAAGATCCTGCGCCTGGGAGGAAAAGAGTCGGCTCTTCGTAATCAAAGCAAAACGGATTTATGCAACGCCTTCTGCTTCCCTTCCCTCCTTCTCCCTTCCCTACCTCTCCCTCCGGCTGGGAAAGTCTGCTCGAAATTCCAGGAAATTAGCAGCTGGGCTGCGCCCGCCCGCCTGCCGATTTGTGCCAAGCCACTAGGGGTAGCCCTCAAATGCCTCGCGCTTTATTAGGAGGTGCTTCTTTTAAAAGAAAAAGGCCTATAAACATGTAAATATCCCATAAAAGGGGATCGCGAGGGCCCAGGCAGACAGACAGGAAGGCGATTTCCTTTGCCTTTTTCTCCCTACCCCTTTCCAATCTCTAAGCAGCCTGGCCGTCTCCGGAGCGATCGAGCGGGGTGGCGGTGGTCGGGATGACACTTTCTCGATTTATTAAAAGTTCGCAGGCGTTCTTCCTTAGTCCGGGGGGAAAGTCCCCACCAGGGGCGGTTGTTTTGTGGGTTATTTGCTAACTCTGGTAAAGTGGGCTATTCCAGACCACAACCTGGACCGGGTCCTTCTGGAAGAAGGGGACCAAGTTCTTCCTAGAACTTGGTTCTCAACACTTCGTTCTCGCCTCACGACACTGTCCAGCGCTTCCCATGCAAACCGGGGAGGTGCTCGTCCTGAATAAAGAGACACTATGAACAACAATAATAGCACGTCCTCCTGTTAGATGCTCGCTTCTCCCATCGGAAGCTCTTCCGGGATCGGTTCGGTCTTCCTTTCTTGCGGAGCGGCAGCGGGTAAAATCTGGCCCTTCCCTCTCTGGCTTTAGGGCTCTGTACTCCCTCCTCCCTAAAGTTCTCTCAAACTGGCTTCCGAAACTGTACCAGCCCGTGGGGCACCTGAACTCCTTGCCTATCAAGGTACGGAAGCTCTTATTCTGCTGGTGGCCTTGTTCTGTTGGGGATCCTTTGCTTCTTAATATTCCTTCCCAAACAACAACTCTAGGCAATGTCTCTGCCTCCCTCCCTCCCTCTAAGAGAAAATGTTGGCTAGCTGTTAACCTCTGAATGTCTTTCCAGATCCTAGCAGTTTTGAGAACTTTCTTTTCTTTTCCTTAAGGGACGGTGCTGCGTATGGCGTAACTTCCCTAGAATCTGGCATTAAAGAAGTAAAGGGGGGTCTGTCTTTCTGAGAAGTGGAAGACCTGAGTAAAAGGAGAGAAGGATCGCTTCTGAGATATGTGCCTTCTCTCCCTTGCTCTCGCGCTCTTTCTCCGTGTATTAAATCTCCTTTCAATCACCCTGTTCTTAGGTGCCCCCTGGTATCCGATGCACACGAGGTCCCGCAAAAAGCGAAAACCCTATTCGAAGCTGCAGCTAGCGGAGCTGGAGGGTGAGTTTATGGTCAATGAATTCATTACCCGCCAAAGAAGGAGAGAGCTTTCAGATCGGCTAAACCTGAGTGACCAGCAGGTGAAGATCTGGTTCCAGAACCGGCGGATGAAGAAGAAAAGACTCCTGCTCAGAGAGCAAGCGCTTTCTTTCTTTTAGAGTTCCTCAGACAGATCCACGGTGGGGAACTACCGAGACTCTTCTAGCCTTCGTGGTAGCTGATTGTCCTAGGACTCTTAGCGGATATGGTTGAGATTTTATTTTCCTTGAATAATAATGTTATTAATATTAATCAGTATCCTTTTCAAAAAGCCCAGCAGTAGGCGTGTGGGTGTGAGAGAGAATAGGAGAAAATGTTTCTCTTCCGCTCTTAAATCTGTTGGGAAGCGGTTAGAATGTGAATGCGCAGATACCAGGGACCGCCTCCCGCAGTCCGCATGGGTTCCTACAGCTAAAATAGACTTGCCAACCAGGGTCGGGAGCGCTTCGTGAATGCAATTTCAGCTGGATCCTTCTCGGCTTAGGCAAGCCGCCATACGTGCGCTTTCCCGAACACCTCCCGAGGCTCCCTCACTTTGTTTTCTCCTGACACTGGTGGTCGGGTTAGGTAGCTCGTCTGCAGGGAGAGGCAGAGAAGAAAGGTGGTTGAAAACGAAGTCGCGCCCCCGTAGCCGCTGCTCGGCGGGGTCCTGTTGGGATTTGTTATTCGCTGGAGAAAAAGCACAAGGGGATGTGACCTTCGTCTGAAATCACTTGGGACGGTTCTTCTGGCGGCTGGCGAGCCAGTTTTACAGGTTGGCCAGAGCTGGCTTTCAAGGCGAGATTCAGGAGGCGCCGACTGTGGTACCCAGGTGAGCTGAATATCTCCATCTCTAACGACGCAGATGGTACAGATCATCTACCCAGCTGTCTGTCTACCCCTTCCGGGTGCTTAGGAAATCGGAGCATCCTGGTGCTACTCGGAAGTTATTTTCCTGAAAGTCACTGCGGCAGGAGAGTGGGACCGCTCACTCACGCCGCCACCCATACGCAGGGTGGTTCACAGGCTACAGTTATCTATAAGTGTGTGTGTTGGGGGGGGGGGTTGTCTTTAATTAGTGAGATTCACTTCCATAGGATTGCAAAAGTTTTTAAAAATCGGAAAATTCTTAAGGAAGTTACCTCATTTATTGTATGTATTTCTTTTATTCATGAACTGAGCCTGCCTCCCGTGTCAGCAGGCTGGCTTCTTTGCAATCTCCCCACCGTACCCCTCCCGCCGTGCTTTCTGCTCCCTGCCGGTCTCCCTCCCCTGATAGAATGCTTAACAATAATTTCAATTTGTGCTTAATAATAGCTCCGTTGAAGGAGAGGTTGTGCTGTTTATTATGCTGTTCTATTTATTGACGATTAAGATGGTGGTGAGAAGCGGGGGAGGCCCCTTTTTTATATATTAACCACAGTGGCGGCCCCTTGGAACTAATTAAGCCATTAATAGCATTCCCCGCTTGGATGAAAGATGCTTTCTAATATTAGTGCATTTATCAATGATTTGTTTTTAAATGAACAAGAAGGGATGTTCCCCCGTCTCCTGTCACCGCCCTCTTTTAATAAATCTCATATTTAGACTTTGAAGTAAAGAATCAAAAGAAAAACGACTGTTCTCCCTCAAGAATCAAGATGATTTCTGTGTGCGCACGTGCGTGCCTTTTTCTCGGATCTGTGTACACACATGCGCACACTCACGCACACTTTATTTTCATTCCCGATTTGCCATAGGTAGCAGCTGCCAACTGTGAACATTTATGGAGTGTGTCGCTTCATTTCGCTCCTTTTCCGACCCACCCGGGCGCGCACAGGGCTCGCACCTCAGCCTGCTTGCGCGGATCGAGGGTGATTTCCACCCAGCCCTTCAAGTCCGCCACCGACTCCCCAGCTTTCATCTGCACTGTTTCTTACCACCTAGAGCAGGACAGAAGAGAGAAGGAAAGCACCAGAGTGTGTACTAGTTGTTCCTTTGTCGGTCATTTGTGTATTCGCGGCTGGGTTATCATTTCCTAAAGAAACTCTAAGAGCTGCCAGGCTTGGACGTATCTTCCGCGTGAAAGGAGCAGCGCTCCTCTCCCCCACCCCACCCCCACCCCAGTTCTGCTGCTTTCCTAACTACACTCTGATCATCACCACCAGCACTGAGCTAGCCGGGAGTCTGGCTACCAACGCGGCTTCCGGGCAGGGGCGTTCACGGTCATGGCCGGTAGCAGGAACTCCCCGCCTTTACGATCTGCGGAGGCTTCTGGCTAGTCTTTCGAATGCCTCTGGCCGCCTCCCCCTTCTCGGGAAGCTTTTCTTTCGGTCTGTTCTTCAGGCCTGTGTCATTACTCTTTCTCCTCATCCGTCCCCCGGCCGCCGCCTCGCCCTTCTGCAGAGGACTGGACCCCTCTCCGGGACCCTCCTTTCTTCAGGAGGGCACACCTTCTGCAGACTTCACACACTCACCGGCAAAGGAGAGGAAGTTCCCGTCCGGCCGTGACTTGAAAGCAAGAGAGATCCCCGAACAGTGGTGTGCAATAAATGTACATGTGTTTATGCCTATTTCCCCACCGCTATGCAATGAACGAGGAAGGGAGGTGCTCCGAGGGAACGATGGGAAGACATGGGGAGTCCTGCGTATTTCTCCACGAGGTCCCCCTGAGGACTGCAAAGCCAAGGGCTTCTCTCTCCCTCCCTTCAGCGGCGGCTGGCTGGAGAATCTCTTCTACCCTGATCCGGCTTCCTTGTCGGTCCTAAAAGGCGCGCGCCTGTGGTTTGTATGAAGTGTGCGCGGGCTTAAAGTAGGAGTAGCATTTCGATCGAGAGAGAGAGAGAGAGAGAGAGAGAGAGAGATGCCCTTGAGTGCTACAGTGTAATGTGATATAGGTATTGTATAAATGCGAACAGGTAGCCTTGGCTGGGGGGAGGTGGGGGATGGATGGGGGCTAGTGCGTGGGAACTGTTCAAGGCACCGGACTTATCAATATCGCCCTAGATTTATTGTCTCGAAGAAGCCGCCGTGGCAATCTTTGCCGTCCCAGGTCTCCCGCCCCGCTCGCGACGCCTTGCAACCCGAGGCTTATGTTAACCCGCCGCCGGGAGGCATTTGCAAGTGGGCGGCTTTACCAGGCGCACTTGCGTTGCTGGGGCAGTCAGTGTCAGCGGGCAAGGTGGGGTGAAATCCTATCATCTGGGGAGGGAGGCGAGGAAGGAGGCCGTGCCCAAAGGGGGACTGGTGGCCTTGTTAATATTTCACGGCCCCAACGCAGTTGCGCTCTCCGGAGAGAAGAGGCATTTCTGCGCTTGGAAACCTCAGACACCAGCAAGAAAGTTAAACCCAGACTGTCCTCCTGCGGACCCGAGGCAATGGCTACTCCAATATTTAAACGAGAAGAAGGAGGAGTGGGTGGGTGGGAGGAAGGGAGGGACCGATCCACTAAAAATGAAGACGCTGAAATATATGCAATTTTCTCTTTCTGACTGAACTCAAGTATTCTTCTGTGTCGATTCTGTTCGTCTTGTGTTCGTCGCCGGTGTGTGTGGCCGATGTCTCCCTTGTTCTTCCCTGGCTAGTGAGTTTCTCGCTGTTGTTACATAGCCAACGCTCGCGGTAGAGTCCAAATGTAAATTGTTTCTTACCTCAAGCTATTATACGTAGGGCCTATGCAAATGCCTGTCATAGCACGTTTTCCCGGCTTTATATAGTCATGTATTCTTTTTTCTTTCATAATAATGATGAGGATGACGATAAATTGAATGTATTATTATGTGATTTCTGATAATAAATAAAATGGCTCAAATCTCCAGTTGGTGATTTATTACCGAATGAGGAGGAATCAACAAGGTTAGTACAGTAGTTTTTGTTTTTTTTTAAAGACAATGAAACCTTTGGAGGCATATATAGAGAAACTATTTTCCTTGAAAATAATAATAATAATGGATATATAAACCATGTTGTAAAATAGAGGGGCTGCTTTGGGATTATCGTTTAAAAAAAAAAATCCAAGAAGATACGCAGAGGAAATGTATCTCAGATGTTAAGAGTTTTAATGAGAATATATTTGGGGAGTGGGGAGGGAGGCTGAAATTCTTGCACGTCATGTTCTTGGAAAGAGATATTTTGGAAAACATGTTTTGTTCCTGGCCAGTCTGAAAAGAGCCCTCATTCGGTAAGGGGGGGCAGGGGGGTGGGGGAGTAACAAAACATATGCCATAATTGAAATCTACCAGCCATTGATGTCTCTAAATGCAGATGGACATCAGATAAAACTGCTGCAGCCTGGCTTGCTAAGAGCACTGTGTTACATAAATATGCAAAATAAATAAATACAGATAGGATTTGATCAACAGTCCTATATATCATTCTCTTTCATTAGTCTGGCATGCTGTTTATTCCCACTGCTTCTATGCTGAATTAGGAGCTTAGTGGAATGCTGTTGCCCAGCTTTTATGTCTTTGGAACCATCCACAAGGTTTAGGGGAGAGGGAACCAATGCATCTCCTTGAATGTGCACAGCACCTGCACACACACAGATACACAGAGAGAGAGAGAGAGACTGAAGGTGGACTGGGGAGGGGGAGGGGGATTTCCTTAAAGGAAATCGAAAACAGCAATTCCTCCTAGGGGATTCTTCCTCTATTTGACCTCCCAATCCCTATATGGGTCTCTATGCTCACTTTTTCTCAGAGTTTCCTTCCATGCTGGTAATAGGAAAGGTGCTTTCTTGAAAAAACAGGTCTGGGTTCATTGGGAATGAAGGTGGCTGTACTAGACAAAATGCTAAAGTCTGGCAATTGATTTGGGGAGGTCCCCTCTTCCTCACCCACCGACCCAACCCCTTTCTGATCTGACCTGTCAACGCCTGGAAAACCAGGGAGGTTACCTGGCTCTATGGAAAGGAAATTTTAGGAGTCACTAGGGCCCAGAAAGTTAAGGAGAGCTTTGGGCTTCCAAGAAAAATTGCATCCATAACGTTTTGATTTTACTGGCTGAAATGTTAATTGATAAAATATCCCTTGGGCAAATGGTATCTTAAGTGGTATGCGCAAGATCCTTCTGCCAGCATCTGCTCGCTTACTCTAAGAGCATTTTAATCAGTACCCACAACCAGGAGCAGTGTTAAAACCGCCTCCTCCAACAGCTGGGAGGA